AAGTACATGATAGACATTTTTACGCAGGACAATAATATTAATTCACACAATATAAAATGTACCATAACGGGAATAGTTAGTTAGTGCACCAAAATAACTATAATTACTAGGCAGAATAGAAATGTATATATACATATTAATCACTCCCTAAGTACTCCACTTGCTTTCTTTTGCGTTGTTGTTTGTCTTCTTTTGTCTCCCACCATTTCAGCTTCCACTTGACTTTTTGAATGAGAATGAATAATGTAGATATTCGCCCATTTACAATGACAAATGATCTGCAAACATTATTGATCCCATATCTTACAATTCCCTCGTGAATTGCGCATTACGCAACCTGGATTACAGTTGTGAAATATACCTTTATACCAATAAAGAAGTACTGATTTATAAGACTTTATGATTGTAACTTACAAAATAACTGATCTTGTCTGCAAAAATAGCTTGCATCTCTTGAAAACACCCGTTTATAAGAAAATATAAACTGTCATTATTATTAGTCTACATTGAGTACTATAATGTTACGAAGAAAATGCTGACAAATGTATACAAGTGTATTACTTATTTTAAATTATTATCAAATTTGGATATAAATCAAGAATAAGACTCGATACCATACACACCAAAGTTATATGGAGGAATTACTTCAAGCTTTATTTTTTTCCCAAGTATTTGTAATCCATTCAAAACATACTTGGTTTTTTTTGTTAATGCGAAGACAATATTTATATATTTCTTGGTGTGCTCCATTGAATGACTAGTTATCATATTGTTCCCATAGACAAAATAACTGCAACCTTATAATTTTACCATGAACCAAATTTATGTAATTTAAATAATACTTATCCATGCCTTTACAATTGGTGTGTCCTACACAGGCAGGAAAAATGTATTTTATTAAATTACTATTACTAAATTTGTCTACTAATCGTATGTGTAATTTATCATATTGATGATGCCTGTAAACTGACGTCCCTCATGTACACAATGAGAATGTATCATTATTATTACACTCCTACTTTTATTTTTATTCGACTCGACTCAGAATGCTTTCTGTGAAGTGACTCTCAGTTATGCATTCATATGTTACTTACGTTTTGAAATTATATCATATCTAATCGTGCTCATAAGAGCATTACATTCCCATTCAAATTCATTTATTTGTATGAAAAGTGAGTTATTACTACGAAAGAAGGGCTAATTTAGCCTGTACAAAACTGGCAGGATTTTATTGCCTTGTACACGTCAATCAAAGTATCGAGTTGTATCATGCTGGAGAGATTCACTGGATGCAGAACTCTGGCCGGAACAAACCGCATTTGAAGAAAGCGAACCGTACGTGGATCAAATTGTAACTCTACGCGTCGTCATCATCGAGCGATGCATAGAATAGCAGAAATAATGTCTTTCCCAACTTCATCGACTTTGAGCATGCCTTCGACAGCACCCAGCGCGAAACGATTCGGAAACTGCTTCAATACTGGACAAAGGCGCCACAAACACTCACCAGCCTGATCTACACTTTTATGAAGGTTTTATATGTTAAGCCGCTTACAGTGAAAAACTCGGCAATGTTTTTGAGGTGAAGACATGAGCAGGAAAAGGCTACCTATTATCATTGATGATGTTCCTAACTGTGATCTGTTGGATGATGCGTCATAATGTGGGGAGCGAGGATAACGGAATGCACTTGGATTACAGGAATACTTCAGAAGGTCTGGACTTCGCAGATGATTTACGTCTAATGTCAAACAAACTCGAAAATCTGTGGGAAGACATTAACAAGTTGTCGAACAGGCAGAAAGATAAAACAGGGCTCTCAGTGAACCTAGAGAAGGAAGAGATTATAAGGATACTTAGCCAAGAACATCAGGCACCAGTCACTATCAACGGGAAAAATTAAATTTGGTTGACCTCTGTCACTTATTTAGGCAATATATTTTCGATTACAGGTGGCGTGGATGAGGATTTTAAAGGCAAGATTAGAAAGGGACTTCATTAATCTGGAATCATTGTGGAAATGTGATCCACCCAGCGTAGACAACAAGATTCTGATTTTCAGCATTAGTGCATCATAAGGGCACACTTGTTCAGTGTGCTGCTTTTCTTACTGGACCACCATTTAATGTTACTTTCGAGAAGTTCACTGGTCGTCCACCCCATGTAAAAGCTTGAAAATCTACGGTAAAACAGTACGCCATTATGCAGAAATTGAACTGCCAGAACTCCACCTAGCTGAAAATGCAGACTGAATTGTGAGTCGTAAATGTAGACCGAATAGTGATAGAAGAATGTTGAATAAGCAATGCTAAGACTAATCATTGCCATAACAAATCAGTTGAACTTGATAGTTCTCCTAAAAATGGGTGTCTGATAACAACTTTGGCCTACCTTGAACTTGTGTTGTAAAGCAATACATGCACTGTTACAACAGGAAGTTTCTGTTACCAGCTGTCACTTTAGACACTGGTGGTTTAGGAGATGAATTCTTGTCAACCACACGTGGTTCAGGTGTCGATTTCAGGCCGGCGCATCCCTAAACCTTTCAGCCGGCAGTAAATGCGGTAAAATGGAAAGAACTGAGATTAGATATAGTAACCCCATCCCTTAAAAAGCTTCACCACTTCTAAGACTTCACAGCCTTCGCTTGAAGTCGCATGTTCCACTAGGGGCCATAAGGAGTAGAAAATATTTTGAACAATAAACAATGAATAAATATCCACGAATAATTCTGCCTTCAGATGGGTGCTTTCTACTGTGTCCATGGGACTTCAGTAGGAATTTTACAGGCACACAAAATACCCCTGTAATTCACAACTATGGCGCACACTGTATTACGTTATCGCGAATTCACATACAAGCAATCATTTTATTCCCATTGGTTACGTTGGTTCAAATTTTTAAAAATACAGTATCGATACTCGCATAAAATACCAGAAGCCATTAGTCCATCAGAATGATTTTTATCTCAAAATTTCCGCGCATTATAAGACCAAATCTCAGAGATGTCATGTGTTTGAGGGGCTGACGGCAGGAATCTATAGATGTGGAAATTTCATCCCCACAAAGGATTGGATGGCAGGCATTAGTTATTCCCCAGTGTATAAATTAATTTTATATCATACTGGATTCCTGATATAATACTGAACCTACATACCGACTGCAAAGTCATTTTAATCTCATTTTACACCTAGAAATTTTAGTGTTTTTCGCAGAGGTCTACGCGTACTCATATAGGTATAAGTAATAATGAGACTGTAGTCATATCATAAACTGGTGTGCCCACGTTTACTTCGAGAACACATGAATTATTATGATGGACCTAGAAACCTGAAAATATAGTATACAAGTTTAGGTATTCTCTCTTTACATCCACACCCCATTACCAATGTGATTACAAAGATAGTCACTGAACAAAGAGAACTCTTTTCGATAAATTCATCATCAGGTTCTACAATTATATATACATTATAATGAATGAATTAGTCTTATGAACGACATTAATGTTTAAATAACATCAAATCAATAATATTGAAAAATTACAGCTGAACAGCATCAACATCATCATCGTTCATAAGACTAATTCATTCATTCATTATAATGCATATATAATTGTAGAACCTGATGAATTTATCGAAAAGAGTTCTCTTTGTTCAGTGTCTATTCTTTTGAAAATTTTAATGGGCATTTTTAATCGATTACAAAGATTTCGATTTATATAGCCTTTCTATCAGGTGGAAGATCACATGTCTCCCAAATGTCTGAGATCTAACCTGAAAATAAGGCGAACAGTTTGCGTCAGTGACGCTAAATGCTACTAGTCTTCATTGGAGACTTTTAGATTTTAATATCCGCAAATTCTAAGTAATCTCTTCAAAAATGTATCAAAATTTTACTCATGTAGCCATCTCTTTTAATTACTGGAAGGATTCCCTTAGCGTTTACTAGATCGTCCCTGCTATAAATTTCTGACGGTGGTTTTGTGACTACCTATCAAGATGAATTAATGTCCCAGCCACTGAGCCAGCCAAACGCTTTGTGAATGTTGGGCACTCAACTGACTAAAGGAAGATACTTCATTTGTGCCTATTCATTAATCGACTAAGTCAGATAATAAAAAATTGCAGGAATTTACAGCTAAGGCTCACCTACAGTTACCCACTGTACGCATTTTATAGCTTTTTAATTCTGGTGATAAGCTTACCGACTTCGGTTTCTAACAATGAAATCTCTAGACGGATCACTGATGGGTGAATTTAAGTAAGAGCAATTTGAGGGAAAGAACGCACGAGAAATCTTTGGACACACAATCAGAGCATGGTGATTAAACCATGTAAACACAACCAAATACGCGGGGAATATGGGGTAGTGTCTAGGGTTATTGAATATGACACCTTTCTCCGTGCATCTGCTTCCATATTATGAATGCTTAACTGTATTTCTCATCACATAACAGCTGTTATGTGATGAGAAAACTGTTAGGCATGACATGATCAATTTACTGCGGCACTCCAACAAATAGTTCCCATTAGCTTTTGTTCTCCTTTCTTTGTTACTATTATATTGCTGCTCATATATTCTATTACAGACTAATTTTATATATCGTATCCTGTGGTGCACTGTTTAAATATGTGAATGCAATGCTGTTCTTTTTTATTTTATTTCTCTTTTTCTTTTTGTTGTTGTTGCTTTATATTTCTAAATCCTTATAAAATTTATGAGGTAATTAGATGCAATATTGTAATGAACGCTGAAAATTCCATACCTGTACCACAAATACTGTTTGGAATAAAGCCATTATTATTATTATTTTTTGGCGCAAATATGTCGAGCTGCTGCAATCAGTCATTTACAGGTCACTGATACTTTCTTTTCCTATGGATCTCTATCGCTTAACTTTACTCACCAATTTTTAACATGGAAATCGTAATAGTCAATTTCTCTTGGAATACGTTTGTGTTAATTGACTGAGAAGTTTTGACCTTGAAAGCTTATTGGCGGGTCAGTTGGTGAGGTCTGTCCCGGTATTGCTTCTACATTACCGATAGAAAGCTTATGAATAAACATGATGGACCTTAGAACTCAAGAAGTTCACTCGGGACATTTCATGGTCAGTAATCTCGAAGATTCTGAAGATGAGTCCGAAAATTCCGTTGATCTATCTCCAGAAGACAACCCTTTATCTATTTCAAAAGATGTAAATGATCAACCAGCTACTAAAGATAAAAACAGACTGATATTTGAGAATTTGGCTTCACTTTTTAAGTACTTGGAAATCGCATATATTGGAAAGCTGACCAGTCCAAAATGGGATCAGTTTCGTGGATTAAGATTTGCAATAAAAAATAAGATCAGACTCAACAACATTATTTGGAGGGAGTACCATATGCAGTGTAAGTAAATGTGTTTCTAATAGGCTTCAGACGTTAAAAAGTTGAAACCGGTTGTTGTTCAATTTCAAACACCTGTATGCGAAAACCACTCCAAAGCTGAGGTAATTTATTCTTTTCCCATTGATAACATTTTAGGCGGTGGTACTGGAAGGAAAATATTGGAGACGGCGTATCAGTACTTTGTGTAGAGAATATGGCCTTTGGAGAGTGTTTGCCAAGAACAAATTGTATGGATCTCATAATAAGCAAATTGTTCAGTGTGCTAATGAATTGCTTGAGGGATCGGACATGTGCTCGTATAAATTCAGGGATCTGCCAAAAAACGCTACCTCAAAACTATTAGAAGAAATAATGATGGATATTGATGAAAACCTTGACTTGTTTTTTGAACAACCATTAACATTCCCAAATCCGCGTGATTTACCTACTTTAGGGAATGCTGACATAATGCAGCCAGGTTTACAACAACTTCAACCTAACAGAAGTTTACGTGAAGACATTTCGTCCAGTATGTTCCAATCTAGTGAGCCTAATTTGTCTTTTCAAAACTCCAAATATAGTATTCCGCATGATGCCTATTCATTCGGTTATACGTGGTCCCATGCTGCTGTCTATCCTGATCAATCTTTCGAAGATAAGTTTATATCTGGGGTGGTTCATTCCAACCCAGTAATAACACATCCAGCTGCCACACCCACTGAAAATCTTTCTGGTGAACATTTCAGTATTCCATCGTGCCCATCGTTCTTGTCACAAGACTGTAACAACGAAACTCTTTTAGAATTAACTACAAATAATAGAGAAGACCGTTCATTTGTTACAAACAATGAGAGTGGTGAAAATGATTACCATGGTCGTCATCCATATCGACCTTCCTTTCCAGTGACTCAAAAGCGCCATTTTGTACACCAACCTAAGCTTGCAGGTCAAAACCAATGTGGCAAACTTCCTGTGATTACACAATCAAAATGCGGGTCATCTGGAGAACCCGTCCCCTCAAAAAGTTGTGTGGATAAACCTTTTCAAGCTTTCAGTCAGTATTCAGAAACTAAACAGGAAAACAGCGATCGTAAGAATGGATCGACTCTTTTAAATGCTTTGTTGCGTGGTGCTAGTGGTAGCCAGAACCTAAGTTCTTCTGGTGACTATGTTGGTAATCCACCAGTATCCCAAAAACCTTCAAATTGCTTGTCTCCCTTACTTTGCAACGCTTTGAAAAAGCCAGAAAACTATTTTAACCACTCGCCTGGCAAACATTTTTATTTTAAAGATCAGTCAGCTCAGTCACTTCAGTTAAAAAGCGATCAAACTTCTTACACTGATGCGAAAGATTTATCGATTTCATACAATCATTCTGGCTTTGCTTTTGGTGACCACCCTTCACTCGTTCCAGACACACCAATTCAAAATACTCGTATTCCTGAAATTAATCAAGCAAATGCCTCAGACGTGAGTTATTTTTAGTTATAATTACTATTTCACCTGTCTAAGTTGTTTGATCAACCATAGTTGGGTTGAACGTTTTTTGTATTCTTAAGTTTTAATTTCATTTTTGGTGTTTTTCATCCGAACGTGATTGCGAATGTTTACCCATAAAGCTTTTATTCTCCATAATTGCAGATCTTACGGGATGTGTTTTCTTTTAATAAACTTAATTCTTGTTTGCAAGTGCTAAAACACGCTTCTTGCCAAATTTTGTTTAAGGCGTCGGTGGATTGTAGTGATCTGACTAGATTTAAATACAGTGTGGTTTAGTATGTGAGTCAGTGTTTAGGTCATAACTAATACACTTATCAAGATTAATTAGTTAATATCTAAAGGTAGATAATACCCTGCTCTTGATAATATAAAAGTAAAGTCCAGACAATATTATAGAGCATAATATATTAGGTAAGTATATTTGGCATAATACGTTGATACATATTATGAAGTCTCTGACGTTAATAATAATGCTTTAGTATGCACTCCCCCAGGTAAACTTATCTATTACACATTCTATATTTGTTGTTGGCAAAGATTTCAACAGCCGTATATGCAGTTATATACCTAGACATTTTTACTACAGTGCTTGCACGTTTACTGTATTTCGTAGACGTTACAGTTAATCATAATACTTCATAGATATGAGGTCCGGCAGGTACATTTATGGACAGGTGTACAACTCGCCTCATATTTCAACCTTCTATTTTCATGGGAATGTTTTATTTAGATTGCTACTAAACGGTAGCTAATTGTAGAATAGCTGGTTAGTTGAACTACTTCTGAAAGTTTTCTACGACTCTCTCCGGTCATTGCTTTGTGAGTTGTTAGATTACACATTATCTTCTTTTTGATTTACATTAACTCCTAAGTCTTTCCACCCACAATAGCCTGTGTCTTCTTTCATTTATCTTCTGCCCTTCATTATCGTTGGTAGTCGTTCTGTAAACTTGTTTTCAATCCTCCTTTAAAATGTTCATGTTTCCTATTCACTTCAGAACCTGCTGGAGTTCATTCCCATGCATTTTCAAGAGTTTACTGTTTTTTCCTGTCCTACTTCCTTTGTTCTAAGCATCTTTAAGATCGATAATCTCATTTTGTTCTTGTGACTTTATAACCACTCCATGGTTAGGTTCATTCTTAATATTCTCATCAAAATCAGTTCAGAAGGGTAATTCACCTGTAATTTCATTGCTCCTATTCAGTATTAGATATAGACATATTTGTTCAGTTTTTCTGATCATATTTTGAGGAAGTGTAATCCTAAGTTAACTGGGAGAGCTGCAGGCAGTCGGTAGTCTCATTAGATATTTCTGTCTATGTTTAAAAATTCATACTGGCTAGGTACATATACTATTTTAGCACATCTCCGGCCGAAAACCACCGTTATTACTCTGTACTTTTTTGTTTGTTTTGAGTACCTTAGTTTTTCCCCCTGTATTCATCTTGAATCTATGGATGCATATTGTAAGTTGTTCTCTACTGAGACTGAAGCTCGGGTTCACGATTTCAGACATAGCTTTGACAGACCAGATACAATATTTTTTGTACGTAAATTATTAGCACAGAAAGTACACTCGGAAGGTAGAAGGTCGATGGTAGTGAAAAGTAACTTGATTGTTGCTGGAGATGTGATCAGGTGACAGTCTGTAACTGCTAAAATCTCAGAACATGACTTTATGAGATGCACAGAAAAAGAAATGATTGTTTGACTCATTTTTGGGGCTACCCGAAACAGAAAGAGAATTAATGTTGCGTGACCCCAGAACCCAGGGGACAACTACTTGAGGCTGATCACACAGACTGTTTGAATTGGCTGTTAGAGTTGTGTCCGTTTCAAGAAATTTCCACCGTAGAGTAAGTCGGGATGTACAATTTCGGGGTCGGCTTTTTCTAACCCCCTGTCTTCAGAATGGAGAGGCAACATAACTGACATGCTGATCATCTGAGGGAAACATCTCACTTTTGTTACATCCCTGTTCTCCAGCAGTATGACTTCGTTCACAGGTCTCCAACATGGTGTCAGACATTTTCACTATGCTGGTAGCTGCTTTTAGTCTAATCTCTATTCTAACAACCCTCATGGTATGGTAAGACTTGCAGGAACATTAGTTCCAGCCAGTGTAGATTGTTGGGTTATTGTGATATGCAAGCCTGACTACTACATCAAGGTAGAAGCTATCGGTCAGGACAAAAATGAAATCTATCCTGAAAGTACGGGCGTTAAGCTAACAGGAAAATTACTTTAGACCAGTCATATATAACTTCTTTCGGGATTAGACTGCATTATGCTGGTGATATGTGAGAAGCCAACTAAAATCAAAATTTAGCAGTCTATTTGGAGGAATTGGTGTGTTCCATGTTTATATAGGTTGAGATTGTAGCCAAGTATTTGTGGTCTGTAAAGAAAGTAAGACGCAAGGTACTGATTCGAGTAGAGTATGTTTGTAAATGCTACCGAATTCTTTAACTTGTGCCGCTGTCTGATTTTTCTCATAAAAGCTGTTTCTTCACATTATTATAATAATTATTACTATTTCCTCGGGTTCCGAGTGGATCATAAGGCTATTTTCTGCTATCCTCTTCAGATGCGTCCATGATTACCCATAATCTCTCATCTCCTCGTACGATCTTCATGTCACCATCGGATGACCCTCTCGTCTTTTCCCATTCGGGTTCCACTTGAGGACTGCCTAACGTGCGATGTCAATTGACGGTCTCCTCAGTGTGTACCCGATCCATATCCATTTTCTCCCGCATATTTGTTGAGCAATCTGCTCTTGGTTGGTTTGTTTCCAGAGTTTGTTGTTTCTAATTCTTTCTGGCCGGCCATTTGATCTTCAGTATGGAGCCAGCAAAGGCTGCTGTTTCTTCACATAACTACTGTTAATAGGTGGTTTTCTAAGATAATATCCAGCAGAATTCTTTACCTTATTGCTTGTAAGACAAAACGCCTCCAAAATGGCTTTATTTTACATATCAGTGCATGTTTAATTAGTTGCGTTTTGTGTCCACTTTTAGCTGCTTTTGTGATTTCATGTAATAATAAGAGATCTTTTTGTAACTCATTATTCGATCTAGAATACTTTTGATAGTTTTATAATAAGTTAACTGATTTTTCACAGTAATTTTTCAACGTTTATTTTTTAGAATGTACCAGTTCCAGTGGGCGATTACAATATGCCTGTTAATTGTTCTGTAACACAAAATCACGAATCAACTTTATCTAACTTGGAACCTATTGTGACCCCCCATATACAACCTATGGTATCTCACTCGAGTGTGTTACCTTTTTCAACTCACAACCTGTTGGTAAAAAACTGTAAGGAGGAATCTATTGATTTCAGTCTTTGTAATCATTTAATCAGGAACCCCAGTCATTATTTTATCAATACTGATGCCGTTTCCCACCAGAATGCAGTTGAAGTACATACCCCTTTTTCTGGAACTAGTGACAATAACGTAATACGTGATCCTTCTTTAGAGCGACGAGATCCAAGCGTTAAGAGTTTAGATATCAACAGTTCTGTTATACAAAGTGTACAAGGAAATTCAGGTTTTGTGGCTGATACTCAAAATGTTCCCACACAGAATCCACAAAATTCTATCGTTTTCTTTAAAGGAAACGGTGAACTTCCTTCACTTGCGATCCACCGAAATCTCTCTGCTTCATCCAGTATAAATTTCACTTTTCCAATTAATAACTCTGGGCAATACTCATTTCCTAACAGTTCAAACCAAGTATCGAACATGTTTTTTTTACCAAGTAATGAGCATGTGCATGGATCCTTAGATGATTCAAATTCTGAACTAGAAACGTTGGTTCCAGGAAGCTGGAACGAGCCCCAAATGTTTTCTCATACAATGAGTATTAGGCCAAATGAAATGGAACAATCTACAGAAGCAATGGTTACGAAAGATAGCAGCTTAAATAGTGAGTTTTGTATTTGTAATATTGTGTTACAATGTGCTGTACCAAATAAACTAACTAACGTGGGTCCTGTAGATTCCTAACCCTTTTAAAGTGTATGCGTTTTTAGTTAAGCCTGATATCGCAAGAAATCTTTTACCATTCACATACTTTATCGTTTTGGTAGTTTACCGAACAAATGACTTAGTACCAGTAGGCACAGCTGTTCGTCCTACTACATATTTTAAATAACGGGAAAGTAACATGGTCAAAAAGTAAAATTAAGTCGTTAAAATGAATTTCCATACAGCTGGTTCCAGGATTAGTGATTTCAAAGAAAGGAATAAAAGTTCGGTGGAACTGAAAGAATGAATGCGTTAGATGGTATTTCTAACTCTTGAATATCGGATGCTGATAGTATGGTATAGGGAAGTGGGGATTCTCTTCACTTGTTGTTTGCGTATCTTAAGCTTGTTTGTCTGTCACTACAACGGTCATTATTTGTCAAGGTAGATGACCACGTGTGAGGAGACCAGCAGAATATAAAATCTATAGAGTGTTGATTCTCAACCTATTTAATTACCTTGTAATCTAATGGTACAGCATTTGATCCCTGGTCGCTCATCTGTGAGCACTTTTGAAGAGTCTCAGCCTGCGGCAAAAGATCTGTTCAGCGTCTCATGGTTCATAGTGTTTCTTATACGGATGTAAAGTCAACCGGAACCTCACCAAATCAATATGTGAACACTATGGTATAAGTGTGTTCTTCAAAAAACTCAGCGTATATGGTTAGTTATGTTTACTCTGTTGGTAAAAACACACCCAGATCATCTCACGTACACAGTAGAAATATGTTGGTTTGTTCATTGGTGTTGATTATTTTTATCTACCCAAAATTATATTTCTATAGGTATCAATTTTTGTGTACTTCATACTGTTTAATGCATTAATAAGTAATTATAGGCTTGTAACTGTAAAGTTGTGAGAAACAGATTATCGGCAAAATAAACTACTTTAAAGAACTTCTTGTAGTGTATTTGTTATGAAGGTGATATGTTTCTCGAGGTTTCAACTCCTAGAAAGTCGCTATAATAGTATAAAAGATGAGTTGACATTGACTACTTAGCTGTGGACCCTTCAACGTTAAATGATGTAATTAATGTATCGAAAACTTCTACTCATCAAGCAGCTACAGTACTTGTTCCCAAGATATTAAATTGCTTTGTGTTGAGCATTTTCTACAAGAATATATCTTTTGTAGTTTCTTCGAAGATTTGATTATGTCAAATTCACCTTGCTACTTTTAAAATGAAATTCTAAAGTAGCGTCACCTAGAAATGACTGAAAATCAAGGTACTGTTAAGTCACGATACCGTAGGTGGATATTAATGTGTAAGAGTGGGAAGCTTAAAATTTTCATTTCGATTGGTTTGATTGGTTTTCTATGGTAGGGTAGCTAGCCCGACATCTAACCCTCCCTCTTTTCCTGGGCTTGGGACCGGCTATAAAACTAGCCAGCTAGTAAAACTAGGCGAGGTTAATTATTATTTATTTATTTAAACGCATTAAAACTTGGTACAATATGGCACCAAGAAGGATGCGCCACACAATAATAATAAAACAACATAGATGAAAAAAAGGAAGGCAGGAAAAGAAAAAATATATATAAGTAGAGAACGAATAAAGAACTTCATCTGGAAGGAAAACACTCATTCTTAACAGGTTCAAACAGTGTTCGTTAACTATCATCGAGAATGGAAGAAAGAAGGAAATCGCAACACATTCGCCATTGATTACGATTCTTGGCCATATCCGATAACGTTTCGAGCCATCGATTTGAGCTATCTCTCAGATCCCAACCAGGGAGTCGTGACACACCAACCGATGCTAATCTAGCACAGAAATCCTTCATCCCACGACGCTACGTCATGGGCTGACCACCTCTCCGCCTTTTCCATCCCGTCCCAGGGCTAGCGAACAGAGACAGGCGAGGTTAAGATATCTCAGTACTCCTTAGTTTTCTTTGTTTGATTTATAAGGAACTCCTTTTTAAAACTAATCTAATCCCCATGAACTTAACTAACTGAAACATTTATACTGTGTAGTACTGAAGCTATTGATAGTGCATTCACTCAGTAGTGGTACCAAATAAATAGTATTTTCTTATTTCTTTTCAGTTAATAAAATCAGTTCACAAAGTTCCGTTGTTGAAAATAGTGCCACAATGCGAGGCAGGTCTAATTCGGCTGGGAATCTATTTTCACTTCAGAATAATCATCTGAATAGTTGTTCAGTACGAGGTTCAGCAGCTACTACCTCAAGTTATGGCAGTACGGAGGTCTTATCCCCGATGTTTACTAATCATAAGGGATTTTTATGTACTATTTCTCCATCATGTTCTCCACCTTCTGTTTCTGAGCAGAATGATCAACCAGGTAAACCGACCATAGGAAATTCTTCAGAAGAAAGGCGACGTCAGTCAATGCAGTCTGGTTTGCAAACTCTACGACAACTTTTGAAAATGCATTCCAATGTAGATAATCTTGCAGGTGGTAGTCGTTTTTCAGCTCGTAGGAATATAAATAATTTAGAAGGGAAATGCTCCGGGTCTGGTACTTACACATCTGCTGATACAGAAATACCCAACGAAAAACTTCCAGTTGGAATACAGTCATCAAGTGGATTAGATTTAGGATCAGATGAACAGACAATTTCTTCAGCAAATGAGATTGGTGGTAATGGTCGAGCATCTAAAGCTGCAACACTGAGAAGTGCTGCTGAACTAATTCGAAGATTAAGAGATGAAAGAAATCTTTTGGAAGTACAATGTACAAATCTGAAAGGAGAAGTTAAGGCACTACAAAGTGCAATCAGGTAAGTGGTCCTCTAAAATTGTATATTTATCAGATAAACATCGGCTTTCCACTAATTTACTGTATTTTATTTGAATTTATTTGATTAGTGGGTAATATTTTGATCCGAACTGTAGACAGAGTTTAAGTATTCAAATGTATATGAGAAATGTCAGACTATATTTTGTCCTATACACGAATAGAATCACTACCAGTTTCTTGCTTACATGTTTCATTGAACGTACCTATTTCTCGCCTATCGCTCTATAATAAATGATCATAGTAGCGTAGTTTTCATGCTTAGGTATTTGTAGTAGTAGTAGTCCAGATTGACTGTTCTTTATAATTACTTGAAAAGAGGAGAAATTAGAACAATTTCGATCAATAATTTAGCATCCTAGCACATTATTTCTACGAATGATGTTTTCTGACCAGTTAAATTCCGGACACTATAGGTTTATGGCGTCTAATAACACAGTTTGATACTACAACCATCAGCAGTAGCCTCCTGAACACTTTTTTTCATAACTCGGATGTGTTGGTGTCATTATATCATATTTCTGCTATATTTTTGTTTACGTTGACACCGATATCGATTATGCAGGTTTCTTTTCAAAAACCTGAACATTTAACTTTTAACCATTGGGCTACAGTTTTGCGTCCTACTCCATTTGACCAATAAAGATATACTTAGTTACCACAAACTATATTCTGCTATTGTGCGTCGGTGGCATAGCGGTTAGGACGCTCGCCAACCATGCACATGGTCCGGGGTTTGATCCCCGGCCGGCGCACTCCTTTACCTCGCTAAGCCAGAACTAAAGCTGGTGAAGAGGAAAGGTTGGACATGAGGCTAGCATCCTGAAAAAAATTAACTTTGCTACAGAAAATTCAAGCCTCTAGTTTGAAGCCCTATGTTCCACTCGGAACGTGAAGGAATAAAAAAAGTAATAAAAAAAATAATCTGCTCATCATTGGGGTTGATGATCGACTAACTGTCTCAGGAATAGTCAGTCCCAAAAGTTCGACTGATTTTTAAGAAAAGTCTTTGTCATCTAAAATTAATATTTAATGTATCTTCTTATATTGTATGACCTACTAACACATATTGAAATCTGGTTAAGGTCAAACAGTTGTCTTAACTTTTATTATTATTATATGCCTAATCAATATCACTGTTATTTATTGAAACGTGATAACACTGTCAATTTAATCCGAAATTGGAAGTTAAGCTGATTACTTTCACCCACATTATACGACAATTTGATATCTCATTGATTGGTTGGGAGAATAGTTTGCTACTACCCCATTTGACTTTGTTTGACTTTGTAAACATGAAAATGGCAAAATATAACGATGTGAAAATGGCAACCAAATAAAGTACAACAGAAGTCAATTATTCAACATTTGTAGATTCAAATAGAGAAGTTTCTTGGGAGCAGTAAGCATGGACGGTTTTTGTGTTTGTGCTACAGCATTTAGGTACTGTGTAAGACCAGAAGGAATCCCAGCAGAAGCATTGAAAGTGGACCCCGAGAAATCAGCGGACTTGATGATACCACTACTGGAGAAGGTGTGGAAAGAGGGCTAGGTACCTGCGGATTGGAAGAAAGGCTACTTATTCAAACTGTCAAAAAAGGAGACTTAAGTCAATGCAAGAACTGGCGCGGAATTATGCTCCTGTCCATCCCAAGCAAAATATTAAGCCGCATCATCTTGGATAGAATGAAACACGCCCTGGATAAATAACTTCGACTGGAACAGGCTGGATTCAGGAGAAACAAGTCGTGCATCGATCAAACCGCAACACTACGGATCATCATTAAACAAAGCTGGGAATGGCAATTTCAACTTCATCCACTTTGAAAAGACCTTCGACAGCGTCGGTCGAGGGGTGATTTGGAAACTACTTTGCTACTACCAAGGGGTGCCGCCAACAATTATACATCTGATCCAACAATTGTATGACAATGCTGCATGCCAAGTTATTCACAACGGGAAACTCATGGAATCCTTCGAAGAAGTGAAGACGGGAGTAAGACAAGGCTGGTTGGCTGCCTACTATCTTCAATGATTTTCCTGATTGTGGTAGACTAGATAATGTGACAGACAGTGGCGGGCAGCGAGGAAACAGGCATAAATTGCACCCACACAAAACACTTGGGGGATCTGGACTTCGCCGATAATATATGTCTGACTTCCCACAAACTGGAAGATATGCAAGTGAAAAGCAACAAGTTGGTAGAAGCATCAAAGATAGGAAGGACTTCAGGTGAACATAGAGAAAACAGGGTTGATGAAGATTCTTGGCCAACATCAACAGCAACAACAACAGACAACAATCAGCATAAATAGAAGAAATCTGAAAGAGACGACCTCCTCTACCTACCCACCCACCTGGGAAGCATCATTTCAATTACAGACGGGCGGAACTGATGAGGATATCAAAGCGAGGGTCGGGAAAGCAAGGCAAGCTTTCATTACTCTCAAGTCTGTGTGGAAGTCAGGTCAACAGCACTCAGTGTGAAAAATAAGATCCGGATTTCCAACCCCAATGTGAAGTCAGTGCTACTATACGGATCAGAGACTTTGCGCCGTGTCACGAAGGGCATTTCGATCAAACTGCAGACCTTCATCAACAGTTGTCTTCGTTCACTACTACTCAAGATCAGATGGCCGGTCAGAGAAGATCAGCAACAGGGATATCTGTTGATGAGCGAACCAACCCAGCAGGAGCCGATTGTGCCATAAATATGCAGGAAGAAATGGAGGTGGATTGACCACTCTCTGAGAAAGCCATCAAGTGATATTACACGCCAGGCCGTTTCTTCGAGTGGAACCCGAACGGGAAGCGGCAAGTTGGTTGCCAGTGTGAGGGTGACATGGAGGAGGTCATGTGAAGAGATGAAAGAATGTGGGCAGATGTGAAGCCAGGTGAAAACGTTGGCGGAGAACCGAATGCAATGGAGACGTGCGGCTGAAGTCCTATATTCCTCTAGGAACTAAAGGAAACAATAATAATAATATCCCCTGTCATTTATTGCAACTTTCTGTATATCCCGTAAAATCGTTGTGACGCAACGCATGAAGTTGTGCTCGAAACGTCATCCAGTCATTAATACTGTGTCACCGTGTTATGTCAAATAAATTTGTCCAATTTATTTGATTATACTCTACCACAGTGCCCGAATTCTACTCTCACATTAATGATTAACGAGCAGTCAAGTCATCGTGGTGTTTTGCATAGAAGAGCATCATTCTAATTTGCCACTGTTCATATATTGCGCAGAAAACAGGACAAAAGAGGATTGATACCACAATGGACATGAGCTCAAAAGGGAGTATAATTTAGTTGAGATTAGTAAAATTGTTAAAAACTTCGAAAATTAAGTGGATAGATACATTAGTACCATATCATCAAGTTTCTAAACATTAACTGTTTGCATCTTGAAGACTTAGGCCAGAAAACACATACTTCCAACATGTTCAACATCATCAGTCGGGTTAACTGAACGTTTTGCTAATTTTATCAGTGTTTTGTGCCAACAAATTACTGGATGCCAGTTACGTCTTTCCTAGAACCCTTCCATCTATCGCCAGAAACAGTCCTACAATAGCAAACACTAACTACTGTCTAATGAAATGTTACAATATCACTTTTATATAACTGATGCGCTATACACCTTACCTTCAATTTGCTACGAGTGTATGTAAATCTTATTTAACTAGGTTTGTTCACTAAGTAGACACCAACACTTAAATATTCAAGTGTTGGTTTGTATGGATTTGATTGGTTACAGGATTTCATCATGAGGCGACATTAGTTAGAGAACCATTGGAAAACCTTGCAATACTGGACAGCTGTTTCGTCCTACTTTGGGACTCTTCACAGTACGCACCCACTGGAATTCGAACCCAGGACCTTCTGGGTTCTAGTGAGAAGTCGTGACCAGTAGGGTGCAGCAGGTCGGGTGTGAGGACAAATACTCACCGAAGACATTGGCTAGGGGTCGCTCTATGTCGTGAATTGGCAGAAGTTAGAATTCACGGGCTGGCCATTGGATCGGGTTGCAGTAGCTTAATGGAATACGAGCTTGCCTTGTAACCAGAAGGTCCTGGGTTCGAATCTCTGTGGGTGCGTACTGATGAAGATTCCCAAACTAGGACGAAACAGCTGTCCAGTACTCCCAGGTTTTCCAATGGTTCTCTAACTAATGTCACCTCATGATGAAATCCTGTAACTTAAATATTCTTTTCATTGTAAAAATTCATACTGGACAATTATTTGCAGAAGTTAAACACTTCAGTATTTGTACAAAGTTAGAAGAACATATTAAGCAGGATAAAATGGCGTCATTATATTTCGTTGGTTCTTATTAGCTTTTATCCCTTTCCATTATGCTACCTAATCACGGGATATTAATATTCATCACCTCTATAATCAATGATTAAAGTATTTAAATATTGGTATTAAATTGTTCACGGTTGTACGCAGCTGACAAAAACCAATAAATTGGCAGTGACGTCACTTTATTCTGCTTTATATATTCTTCTTGTATAGTTCCTTTCCTTGTAATATGAGGGTTCTACGCGCACTTGTCCAGTAAAACATCAAACGCATACAACGTAGAGAACAAAACCTAAAATATGAATAGCTGTGCAGATGCTTAAGAAAGATACTGTTTTCAGACTATTTTAAGGTTATCTTCCCTGATCAAAAATTGATTCATGTTTGAATCGCACACAAGCTTACTGTTTCGGTCGTCTCAGCGTCTAATTGTTTTCATTGTAGTAGTGAAAAAATATTATTACCTCAGAAAAATCTTCAATAATCACTTCGTCAACACTCCTTTATTCCAAGGTTTGTATTAAACACTTTTATGCTTTTCTTTTTTTGTAGTATAATATCACGGAAGTTCTAAGGTACATAGTCTGAGCATGCGAAAAGTTATTAAGTGACGGAGTAAAGCATCTGTGATCTCACTACTATTTTCTTAGTGTTATGCAAAAGAACCATAAAATTGTGTTCAGTCATTGTCACATTCAGCTCATTACTTCGACTCACTAAGAAATTTTAGTTGATACTTTTAAAGTTTTCTGTTCATTAATAAACTCTTGTTAATTATTTATTGGTTTATTTGGTTCAGAGGTAATTTGCACTACAAGTTACACAGGTGTTAGGACATAAAAAAAAGTGTAACCATGTCTTATTAATCTAATGAGGCTCCTCACTCGAGCATGCATTTATCGTCCCTTACAATTATTGCAGTTCTACGATGATTTCATCGTCAAAACTAACTAACTAACTATTATTCTATCTTATACGTGCACCAAAATACACTATCTGATAAAATTTTAATTTTCCTTAACTGTCTGTTGTATGCTATAATTAATGGATTTGTAATTGTACAGTTTGAGAAAGAATTTATTGAGAACAATTGTTCTCTCGAATTACTCTTGTTCTGAATTAATTATGGAGATATTCAAATTACAGATTTCGTCGTCGTTTGAACTACTCTTTTTAATATCAATCAATAATGTTCCCACTTTTCTTCCTATGACTCCAGTAGTAAGGGGCAATATATAATTCGAATAAAACCATATTCGGTTACAGGATTTCATCATGAGCTGACATTGGTTAGAGAACCACTGGAAAACCTGGGAGTACTGGACAGCTGTTTCGTCCTAGTTTGGGACTCATCAGCGGTACGCGGCCACCGGCGTTCGAACCCAGGACCTTCTGGTTACAAGGCGAGCTCGTATACCATTAAGCCACTGGGACCCGATCCAATGATCCGTGAATTCTAACTTCTGCCAATTCACGATATAGCGCGACCGCTAGCCAGTGTCTTCGGTGAGTATTTGTCCTCACACCCGACCTGCTGCACCCTACTGGTCACGACTTCCCACTGGAACCCCACGTAACTACCTACCTGAATAGGGCCAGTCGCCAGTGAGCATCTCATTCATATTCAAGTATTGGTTTGTAGGGATTTGGTTGATTGGTTACAGGTGGGTGCGTTCTGATGGAGAGTCCCAAACTAGGACGAAACAGCTGTCCAGTACTCCCAGTTGGTTTTCCAATGGTTCTCTAACCAATGTCAGCTCATGATGAAATCCTATAACCAATCAACCAAATCCCTACAAACTAATACTTGAAAACCATATTTATTAATAATGTTAGGCTTAGAAGTTCAGATGGATACTTTTCTTCTAATAAACACTGAAGAAGAATGTAGATCCACATTTAAGCAGACTTAATTGTGTTCTAAATTAACGAATAATATAATAGGATAAATCTTGTTTTCACCTTTTTGGTGGGTAGTGACTAGCAGTGGAGTCCAGGATGCACATTTTGTCGTATTTGGGACTTGTCATCTGAATGTGCCTGAAATCCCTAGTGAGTGGTGGTGTTCTTACTGACACTCGAACCCATTATCTATCGTTTCAAACGCCAAACGCGCTTCGTGGATCCCATTGATAATCACTATCCACTAAATAAAATCACGTTAATCTTCTGGCATCCTACAGACGTTTGGATTATAGCTGACGTTTTAACAGAGACCGAACATTTCGGCCCGATAAAATCAGTCAACTGTCGGTTTGCAAGGATGTGATTGGCTACAGGATTGACCACGAGTTGATACCAGTGACCTGAGAGGTCCATCAATTCCTTGCCTACAGCATAGACTGCCAGTTGTGCTGTATATATCGCGAATTAGCAGACGTTGCAATTCAAAGGCCATTAGATCAGGTCTCCATGGCTGAATGGTCTATGAACTTGACTTGTAACCGGAAGGTCGTGACTTCAAACCTCAGTGGGTGAAGAGTACCGGACTGGGACGAAACAGTTGTCCAGTACAACCAGGTTTTACAATGATTTTCTAACTGATGTCAACTTGTGATCAAACCTGAAATAAAGAATTCACTTAAATTATTTTAAAGAAGTTTGCCTATCACTGTACATCCTGCTTTTATATTTCTACCTATCTAATAGCCTTTGTTGCGAAAAATTACCTTCATCGGGTTCATCGTCTTTACGATCAACATCAGATCCAAATTCAAATGCTTACTACTCAGAATGGTTTCGTGCCTATGTACACAAACAAACTGAGGTGAATTGGAAATTTTATGTATTCAGTTTAATTATTGGTGGGATTTTCAAATCTTATTGTACTACAACAGTTACAAATTCACGTGATCAGTTTGTTCGATCTGTATATGGATGGTTGGATACAAATTGTTCACTGATACAATTGAGACCTGGTAGGTTTTTTCACTCTTAAGCCAATTTGTTCATATTCTATTCTAATAGCTGCCATACATATGCATAAGTAAGATTTGTGCTTAGGATTACAATAGGGTTAATTAATAGTTAAAAACACTGTCTTTTTTGTATTGTTGTGCATTACTGTATTAGTTGTGACAGTTGAGTTTGATTCCGTATATTATTTTAGACTAGATTGTTCTTATGCGTACTTATTCTTGTATGAAGTTAATACCATTGGTTTCTCTATCGTTTCTTTTCAGTTTGGAGTTTTTTTTTCCAGTAATATCTCTAGCATATTATTCTGTATATAGACCAGTGTGAATATTTTCGAGTTTGAAGAGTCTTAATGTGTTAATTAATACTTTTCAGACAAGTAATTCTGTTTCTGTCGTGATTTAATCATCATAACTGTACAATGATACGTACATATGTGCGTCGGTGGCACAGCCGTTAGGACTCTCACCGACCGTGTCTGTCTTTCGGATTGTGAGGGCGATTACTACTTCCCGGCTGCCCACACCGTGGAATTTGGTTGCGTGACCGCAGAGCCCAGAGGACAACTGCTTGAGGCCGGTCACACTTGGCCTGTTTTTGTTTGTTCTTTTTTATTTGGTGTGTCTCAGTAGCATATTTATCACTTCTGCTCTGTGACACGGCAGCAGGAAGCGCGGTCGTTGTTAATCCGGGCCCCGACCGATCCGGAATGATATTTTGTGATTTTGTTTGAGTCATAGCACTGGATTGGGTAACTGCTTTTTGTGTAACCGCTATCCAAACAACCTTTCTGGCATGGTAGGACCTCAAGCGACATAAGTCTCAGCCAGTATAGCTTGTTGGGTCATTGCGGTGTTCAAGCCCGACCACCACGTCAAGGTAGCAGCTTTCGGTCGACTGCGTACATGGTCCGGCGTTCGATCCCATGCCGACGTACACCTGATATCAATGATCGGCCTGCAAAATTTGGGCTACCGATATCACATGCTGAAAATTCCATACTTGTACCAAAAATACGGTGTGGAATCAAGCTATAATCAAAATTTAATTAATTAATTAATTAAAAATTAAAGTAGACAATAACAAGTAGTTTTGTTAGATTTGTGTGTATGTGTATGTGTGTATTAAAGTTTGACAGTGAGTAGAAATACTAAAGTGTAGTGCAGATGATTATGAACCACAAAGTGATAAGAAATATGAATGTGAATAAAGGTCAACGAGAAGTACAATGGATGATGATCATAGATCAAATAGATCATAGATAGACTAAGTACATTCGGAAATGTGAATTTGTCAAAACATCAAATGCATTAAGATTGGAAATCATGAGTGAAATAACGCGTCAATAAAATAAAATAAACAAAAGTGGTAGAATATAATAAAATAAAGTGAATTAAGACAAACTGAAACAACAAAGACTCATGTTAATGACATGACAAAATTTAGATCAAGATAACGAAAGAGATCTCATAAATAAATAAATCATGTCGGTAAAGCTCTGGCCTCATCTACATAGACTGCCGAAGAAATTGCATTTGCGGGTTCCTTTTGGCGAATTTTGTTCTGACATTTTTTTTCTATTAATTCATATTTCTAATTTATTTGTGAGTCACGTGATAATCTATGTCAATATTATCACACTTTGTATGGTGTCTTTTCTCACCTTCGACTTTTTTATTATATGATTCACAAAACTTGTTTATTCTATATTGTTTCGATTTGTTTTCTCCTATTTTAATTTACTTTTTCAAATTCTAACATTTTATTCATTTTATAGACGACACTCATCTTATTACATTTGAACATGACAAATTCACATTGTCCAATGTATTTACTCGTTTTATCTCATCTGTTTTACGCATGTATATTCAACTTTATGTTGACTTGCCTCCGCACCATTGACCTTGAATGGTTCAGTGAGATTTGTTCACTTGAGTTGAAGCTTCTGTTCCTCTTGATTCGAGTCAAACGCCTGCTCCAATGCAGTTGCGTTTGAAATTTGGTGAGGACTGAGTCTTTTAGTATTGCTTAGATGTGGGGTTGATTAGGAAAGAAAGGATTTGTTCATGTCAAGGTGTGATAACCATAAAAAGCTTCACCAGGTTGAGTGATGGATATGTGCACCGTTGTGCAGTTTGTTTGAGACGAGTTAGTGTCAGGGAAGGTAAGCTGATAGTTCTAATATTTCGTAGGAACATGTTTTGCTAGGTCCCATTTGTGCTTAATCCAGATTTCGTATATTTGTAACTACTGGATTTCAAAGCAGCCTGTGAGAGGTGCAAATACTGAAACTGAAAATAGTCTCGTATTAACAGTTCATTGGTACCAGCACTACAGGGATATCGCATCCTGGAAAATGAAGAGGCTTACTTCGTTATTGGGAGAAGGAGGTGTCGTCGTATATGTGGATAAAACTGTATTATTAAAGAAAAAATACAATCGTGGTCGAGAAAGGGCGAATAATGTTTAAGTGATTGGTTTATTTGCTACCTCTCTACAGAAAGGTTTTGTCGAAACGATGCAAATAGAAAGTCAAGTACCTTAATACCTGTTATCACTCGGCTAGTGAAACAAGGATCTAAAATACACACAGATCAGTGGAAAGGTTACAACTCCCCGTCATCCTTTGGATATATTCATCACAGAGTCAACCATTCTAGTGATTCTGTGAGTCTCATTACAGGTACACACACTAATTCTATATAAGGCTTTTGGGGAAAGGATTACAGCCATTAATGTATCTCAAAAGGATGTCATTTATAATCATTTAGATGAATATATGTATAGGATGTGGTGTAACTTTTGAACTGATACTCCTATGCTAAGCCGGGACATGTTTTTATCACACGTGAAAGAAAGGTATCCTATCTAACAGTTTTACACAAATTTCATGCATTTTTTTTCCATAAATATTTGTATTCCATGCCCCAAAATGCCTCCTTCATGTGATTGGTGCGCTCAAGGTCAAGGTCGTTCACTGATTGGTAGTTATTGTGGCTTGAAGTTTAACTTTGGCTTATTTCTAATCAATTTGTAATTCATAATCATTTAAAACTATATTTATTATCTCATTCACTGTTAACTTTTAATACCCATACAACAAAACTACTTATTACTGTCTACTGTAATTCATATATGAATACAATTTTATACAGCTATGAAAATGAAATAGTTGGGATGAGAATTTTCTCTTGCTGAAGTCATCATCGTTTAATGTATCAATCAGTGGGGATTGTTAATTTAATTCATTTTTCCTTAAAAAACAACAATTATCAGATGTACCTCAAAATACTAGGCATACTGTTCATTAAACTCGATTTGTCTTAACTGTCCTCGAGTGGATATGAACTTCAGGGATGGTAGGTGATCATATTTTACGGAAACACTACAGAAGGTAGCTATTCCGTTCTTCTCCTATATCGTAATGTGAATAATGTTTGGAATGAAATTTTGGATAGTTGTCATCTGATCGGCATTTCCACATTAAAACAAAAAGAGATGAAAACAGGTTTTACATCACATGTAAGCGAACAGGAATGTTTTCAATTAGATCTCATCAGGCTTTACAAATCAATATTAAATATAAACCAATCACAGTGATTTGTCAATAGGATGATAAGATTGTGCAATTAATAATAATAATAATAATAGTGATTCTATCAATAACAAAGATAAAAAAGTGTAGTGATCTGTGGTAACAAAAAAATGAGAAAACAGCATGACTAAACAAATAAATGTTCAGGTAGACGTAGTCGACAAAGGCTAAGTAAAACAAATGAACTGATGAAGTAATGCTAGATTGTAAAGGAAATAAATAAAATATGCTTTAACGAAGATAACGAAGGGACTATAAGAAAAGGATTAAAAATATAAGTTAGGGTTGCTTGTGGTGAAATCATTGGTTGGTTAGGTCTTAATTGGCCAAAGGAAGAATAATGGCTGTACGAAATTCTTTTGAATGCATAGTGTAGGCTTAATAGTTCGAGTGCCTGTCGCCTCAGCAATATGTAGTAGGCAAATACAGAGTTCCTTGGAAAAACTCATTGGAATCAAATAAGTCACCGTAATTGGTCTGTTTTTCTCCCTTAAATAACCACTATCAAATAAATGGGACATAACAGAGCTACGGTTGGTTTTTGTCTGTCCTTTGCCAAACCATAGTGGAAGATGTTCAGTAAGAAGACGTTGGTTAAGTTGTCTAATAGTACATCCAATATAACTGTCTCCTCAGGAACATTTGAATTGATAAATACACATAGATGCCGCAAAACTATCTAGCTTATCTTTCATTTGAGTCGCAGTCATTCGTTGGGTTAGAGAATGACAAACATAGGTTCCATTATAGATAAGATTTTTATTTTGATAAAGTCTCACAGTGTTATGCAGTAAGTAATATTTACTGATGACGTTTCGAGCACAAATTATTGCTTTTAATCATATAATATCGTATCACTGTGAGACTTTATCAAAATTAAAATCTTATCCATAATGGAATTATACTCGACCACAGTGTCCAAGTTCTATTCCTATAACAAACACAGGTTCTTTGTATAAAATGTTCTACGTATACTTCTGGCTAGACTACGGAACAAATGTTCACTCGAAAAGTCCCCATTAAATTGTAACTAGATAAATGTTGGTTTCTTCCACGCTGTAATTGTCTCAAGTTTTCTGTTCAATGTTTCATTGCTGTTCTTCATGAAACTATTCGGATATTCCATTTATGTCAAGGAATCATCAAATTCCTTTTGTAAGTGATCATCCGTGCATACCTTTCCTGCCCTGCTCATAAGACACTTAACATTATTTTTTTCATATTTAATTGACACGTGACTAAGGAATTGTGTGCATTACCCTGTTAATATGCTTTTTCTATATATGCTTCTCCCAAGTTACCCATCTTGTTTACATAGCAAGACATTCAGAAAATGCAGTTTATTACCCAGTCAATGAAATCTACAACAGTTAGTCTAAGCCACGTAGGAAGATATAGACTTCCTCG